AGACTTGAAGCGAGGAACGTAAACCCTCGAAACCCAGGAGCCACTCAAGTAGGAGAAGAAGTGTGTCTGACAGACACAGCTGAACTTTCCTCCAATAGGTCACGGACTACACAGGGGAGACTGGGACCTTGTGACTGGGAGACGACAACTTGAACGAGTGTCGGAACCATAGAGTCGGGGAATGGAGAAACTAACGGTTCCTGAAGTTAACTGGGAACGTGGGCACACGGTATAAGTCGAGGGTATTTAGAAGTCGAAAGGACCTAGAACCCGAGTTCCCTTCGAACTTTCTTGTTAGCCAAAAGAAAAGAGACGACTCTACCACAAGTCTGTGGGGGGAGAAAGCAAATAGGGAAAAAGACGTGAACGGGTTTTAATCGAAAAGGACGCCGGGCCCAGAGTTTACCCAACAAGCAAAGCTGGCAACGTCGGGAAACTGGTCGACACCTTCTGTACTTCGCAAACGGGTATGAGGACGGTGAATCCCATTTGTCCATCGGTGTAACTTTTCCGACGTTGGGAACACAGTCGAGAAGTTCGTCGGGGTAACTAGACCGCAGAGTTCAGTTCACGACAAACGGGGAAACCTCAATGGAGTCCTAGCCCTATCTCAACGCGCATTGACCGTCGCGACAAAGGTCCTCAGAGAGAATGGTACGATCATACATGACAAGGTAGAACCATGGCTGTAGGACCTAGGTCAAATACACACCAACACAAGTAAACGACGACAAAGTGGAAGTCAAAACATAAACGGTCGATGAAGAGGACTTCACAAGTTGGTTCACAGAAGTCCGGGGATGTCGAGACGACTAACGACCCGAGAAACTCCCGTAACAATTGATACTCGACCTCACACACCTACATAAGTCCCAATTTAGGACGGAACTAGTAAAAGTGCTTGGGAAGTGGTAGTTGGTAGCTGTACAGAGATATAGGAACTGGTCGTTACCAGTCCTAACTCAAACAATCGCGTCACCGAAACAAACTCTCTATGGCCGGAAAAGAAAACTTCATGACTAGGTGACGTCACCGTGACCGTGTCGAGGAGAAACCGGGTTACGTAAACTATAGTTTATGTATAAAATAACAGTCCGTTTTCTCATAATAACAAGATTTTTGATATGTATATGTTAGTTAATGTAAACTAAAGAGCTGTAATTTACTGATAACTCGAAACAAATACGGATAGTGGAAATAGATCGTTTTCAGTGTAGGCCTCACAAACTCATTCAATTAGTTTCAGTAGCATCTAGACCCAATATGCACCATTTGCAGGCCGTGGGCCGAAAGCATATGCCGAGGCGCAATGGTAAACGATGCCGGGAGCTACAATTAAATATTATGTGTACGTTTTTTTGTTTAATTATCTTAGACTGGCGTTTAATTGATACCGCAGCACGGACAAAAGGCCGTCCAGTCTCCAGGAACTTAGTGTTGGAGCTCTATGCACAGTAGTGTCAACCAGAGCAGACTGTCCGCCTCGGTACCGTCCCCTCGTGGTCTGCAGCGAAGCCGTGAAAGGTTTTTTTAAACGGCCATGGGTATTCCTCGGCATGTGTACGGCGTCAAAGACGCACCGAACACAGAAATCAACATTCCGGGTCACACGGCTAGACAAAGATAGACAGTATGACTAGTATGTCAGGTGATATGAAACAACAATAATCGTAGACCAATCGATCGATACGAATTGCTTATATTCTTCGAAAAAGAGGTTGGTCAACTCCATTCTCCGTGTCAGAAATATACTAGTAATATACAAGATTTTTTGGTTCTCTTATTTCATTTGGTCCATATTTTATGATATACTGTCATTTATTTTCAACGACAAATTATTTGTTCTTATGTCAACCTTCACCTTACTAAACCATTTTATAGGTATTTCTTTTATATGTAAGACGAAGGTCAAGACAAAGTATACCCTACAACTCTCTACCATAGGTATCTAGAGGATTACAACGAGAGTTTCACGGTGATCTAACTACGAAAATTGAAGTTGTAAATTTTTTTTAGAAGGGCCCCTCCACTCCGTGGGGATCTCCTCCAATCCAGGGGTGGGGTGAATTTAGTGCAGTGTACCTATCCTTTTGGCTTTATGTAAACGTGTATAGAACACAGGTTATGAAAGACAAAACCACGAGTACGGGTTGGCACGTCACTATACGTACGTGCTCAGTTATAGGGGTGGAGTTATACCAGTTTATAGACCTAATTCTCAAACGAAAAAGATAACGTGCGTATACTTCTTCTTACTTACCGGCTACTAATATTCATAAAAATGACGTGCGGGCGAGTTGATTAAAGATGCCCGTTAGCCTTCCGTACAAAAGAGTTTTTTATCTACAGGGGAGACTTCTTTTTTCCAGGGGTGGGACGACAGCTAGAGAGTATAGCGAACCTGTTCACACAGGAAGCGGCGCGGGTGGACATTCGTAATCACGGGGTCTTTGGTTGGTGGTGGGTTCCATTTCATTGTTCTTTGTGTGTTGAGATGTGTAGGGTTAAACTGTGTTTGTGTGAATTTAGCAGAATAGGGTTTAATAGGCTCGACAGAGGAGAACACGTGAGCTTAGGGTAATTGGCTACGGTTGTGTATGTTGTCGGGTGTCCACATGTGTTTTGGATAAACGGGAGGCGAGCGTGGTAGGGACTGGCAGTAGTAGGAGGATTCGCGGAATAGTAATAACTACTCTGACGGGGTGTTGGAGGCGCGGGTTCGGTGTCCCCGGCCCCGTCTTGCGTTTAGAACAGTTTTGTCACGTAGAGCGCTCGTTTGGTTTAGGTTTTTTTGAGAGGTTGGTGTGTAGGTTTATAAATTGTTGTGGTGGAGAATACTGGGCGTATATTAGGTGGATATTGCTTCTTTAGCGATAACATTCTGCACGATTGACGATTACATCGATCTGAGCCACGATTTGAAGTTCTGTGTATGACGTGGTGCTAGAAAAATAGTTTGATGACTTGATCTCGGTCCCTTTCTCCGTTCTTTGTTGAAAGGCAAAGTTCGGTGTGGATATGTGTCACCTTCCGCGTTTTTGAGTCGTGGAGAACTCGCTGAGTGGTGTTTAACTAAGCAATGAGGGTGAATTTTTCGGTACTCTCCGGACATATAAGATGAGCCGTATGTGATGTTGAGGTTTGAGGTACTCGCGTGTTTAACTGTCTTTTTTCTTTTAGTTCTTTAGTGTATACAGACTGCTGTAAAAATTCTTAGAAATAAAGCGTGGATATACCAACTCTTTTTTATTGCAAAACCAGTGGGGATGTTTTGTTATTGGTTCTAAAAGATCCTGAGAGTGTCTGATCATTGATATGAAGAAAGCGCGCGAGGAGACAGAGGTGAACGGATATTATAGTATCCGTTGTATAATACGTGTAGGAAAGTTCATGATGTTTCCCGTGGTACAGGTCCGGAGTTTGTCAGTGGCGAGGTTTGTGTATGTGAGTAACCGGATTTGACGTGGTTTCCGACAGTCCTGTGGTCTTGTTTTAACATCTGGGACGGTGGTCCGACCCTCTGACTTAGACGTTATCCATTCGTCGAACCACACTCTTTAGTTTGCACCACCCCGTGTTAATAGGATTTTTTACGTGTGTCTATGATGTCTGGTGACTATAGAGAGAGCTTAGACGGTCCGGCCGAAGATGCGTTTCGTAAGTGAGTGGGCACCCAGTTTTACGGTAGTGGGTTTCTGTGTCACTCGGTTTTTTTTATGGTCTATGGGGTGTTCCCCTTCTTGGATCAGTGTACTGACGTCTCTGCGACGCCTGATGTTGTCATGTGGTTTCGGGTATGGTAGCAGTTGGGATCGTGCGGTCCCTGAGTTTATGGTACGTCACGTCTGGTCACTTAGGATTGGCGGAGATCGTGGTCTACAAAGGGTTATATATGTTTGATCACCGCCGGCCGTCGGGCGACGGACTTTATACTCGTGGCACGATCGCCGCGTGTCGGTGTTACGCGATGTGTTTTATTTATTTTATTTCTTGTAGAGAGAGATAGATGAGTAAAGAAGAGAAAGAATTAGTTATGTATGTGGATTTTTTTTTTTTACACGCTGGTAAAAATGTAATTAACTGAACGTCTAGGACAATACACCTAAACATTCAAATTTAAATAAACACTAATGACGTATCCGTAGATTCCGCCTTGTTTAGCGGATCCTAACCCCTCACGCGACGCGACCATCTGATAACGGTGCCCCTTTTTTAGTAAAACTGTGCAACCGCGATTAG